TAATTCTTGTTGTGGGTGGTGTGCACTGCTAATCTGCTAATGCACCAATTAACATCTCTAAGAATAATTCTTGTTGTGGGTGGTGTGCACTGCTAATCTGCTAATGCACCACCTCTCACCAATGCCAGCCAGGTTCTATCCCTGAGCTCCATGTTGTATGTGAGTAGAGTTGCTTTTTGGTTCTCTCCTGTGCTTCAAATATCTTTTCTCCTGGTACTTCAGTTTTTCCTCCATCCTTCAAATTTAACGTCTAAATTCTACAGCTAATTTGATCTATTACCTGCCTTATTATTGAAGTGGCTTGTAAAACGTTTTAGGCTTTCCACCATCCACCCTTGAAAGGTAAATTCTTTTAGTGAATAGTAGTGGTTATAGTCAATAATGTTCTATTTCTCTTTGTCTGATCAGAACCACCAATAGAACCTCCTCCTGCACCTCCATCAATYGATGACACCATTGAAGACAACCCTGATGTTCCTGATGTTGATGGAGATGATGATGAAGATGATGAGGAAGATGACAAAATACAAGAACCAGAAAAACCAACTCCTCCACCTGCTGATGGTAGGGCACTGATAGAGGCACTGTAAGACCCAAGTGTTTCTGCTGAAGACTGTATGCAATGCAATTATATTGGCTAAGACTCAAAATGTGTGCCACTGAGGCTGAAGTGAAACACATACACAGCAAAAGGCTACATAACTGTTGTGTAGTACAGCAAAAATATTAACTGACAAGTGATTGAATTCTGTCCATCAACTATACAACAGACATGAAGCTAAGTAAAGATCTTYAAAGTGACAGTATAATGTACTGGAATTTTTTATTTTTAGAATCTGAAGAGGAATTGAAAATGCCTGAGTTTGATGAAGAAACAAAGGCGAAGATTGAAGGTGTGTGTATTTTCTTTTATTATCATCAGTGTAAGAGGGGCATTCATATCATAATATTCCTTGCTAGTATATATTCTTATCCATTAAAAACAATGACGTACATGTATGCAAACAGAACCTCGTCCCTTCACTCTTTATTGCGAGAGGGGGGTTGGGCATTTGCTGTCCACTTATGGAAGTCCTGAATTACAAAGAATCTGTACTATTTTTTTTCTTAATTTTGTAGGGTTGTCTTTAAAGTTTTTCCAGTTTTAAAAATGTAGGGGGGTTTGAAAAAATAATATTTTACCAATATTTCCTCCATCTCCCTCCCTTAAAGATGAATTTATTTCCTAATATTGAAAGAAGAGGGCCAGATAAAGTGCCTAAAGGATGCAGAATAAATTCATTGTYATTATTAATTTCCAGCTGCTGACAAAGCAAGAAAAGAATATGATGAAGTAGAAACTGAAAAGAGAAATATTGAAAACGAAATAAGGTACAATATGATATAGATATTTCTAGGCAACCATAGTATTATCAATGAAGGGCATGTTTACTCAGCTATAAATAATAGCTAGCTAGTTACATGTAGTCGCCGATCATGATGACTATTCTATTAATTAGTTTTAGCTCAATCATACCTCGTTTCTGGCTCACCATTTTTGGCAAAAATGAACAGCAATGCAAGGTTTTGGCTGAACAAGCTCCAATTAATGACCTGCTGTTAATTTAAGCTGTGTATGTGCAGACCAAAGTTTAGGAGATCGTGCCCTCCTCTCTTCCTTTTCATTGAATTATGCTATCAATAATATCAATTTGAGGAATAATTTTCTTTCAGTGATATTGATAAAATGTTGAATATTGACTTTGGTGAGCATGATGAGTTCTCTCCTCTAACTGGCAAGTGCTTTGACTACATTGACAGAGAGTAAGTATGACATGTATAGATAAAATAAAGGTTGTTTAAGRCCCTTTCTTTATAATCGCACTCAGTATGGATCCTTATTCCTTACCTGAGCCGAGAAGAGAAAGGAGAGTAAYTTCTATAGCTTATTACTATTCTCATGTAATGATTTATTTACTGGTGAATATAAGCTGGAGTACATTTCATGTAACACTACCCGAAGGTACAGTAACTACTTGACAGAATATGTGGTAAAAGAACGTCACCATAATCATTATCATTGTCATTATCAGCACCATTACTATCATCATCATTGTTACAGCATCTCTTCATCATTATCGTACCACCACCATCATCATCAACACCTCCACCATTATTAGTATTTATTTTTATTATTATTGTTATATTATTATTATTTATTACCAACATCATTATTACAACCATCATCATTATCAGCATCAATATCATAGTCATCATCATCATTATCACAACAACACCATCACCATCATCATCATCACCACCACCACCATCATCATCACCATCATTATTTTCATCATCATTCACAATCAACATCACCATCATCATCACTGCCACCACCACCATCATCACCATCACCATCATCAGTATCACCATCATCATCGCCGCCACCATCATATTATAGTTATTATCTCCCAGTAGTTTTGGGGTCCTAAAAACATTGAAGTGATTCATTTCTTTTCTGTAGTTGTCTACAATATATTGACTTTCTATTTTGTTTTATTATAATAGATACCTTTATAAACTGTGTCCATTTGAAAAAGCATCTCAACAACCAAAAGATGGCGGCAGTGAGACGTCACTTGGGTACGCTATCCTTATTGCTGTTATTGTAGTTTTAAAAACCTTTAGATTTTATCCCTGAAACAACCTCTTCGCTGATCAAAGTTAGTGCGTGGTGAACTCACAGATCAAACTTTTCTATCCTATGTTTCAAGATTTCTTTCCTCAAATATGATTTTCCACTCTAAATTTGAAATCTTTTTCCTTGAGAAAAATTAGGTTTTCCCCTTAGGAAATTTCTTTTCAAAAGTAGATTTCCATTAAGACCACTTTTGCCTCTAAGGTCAAACAAACAAACAGACTTGTCATTCTTGTTGGATTTTTCCCATAGGAATTGGGGTCACTGGTCTGGTGAAGGTGACAAGTATACTAGAATGAAGTACACAGGYGGTCAAAACTGCTGGAATGGTCCTGATAGATCCACTGAGGTATGTGCAAACCATATCGTGACTATGTTGAGTGTGTATTCACAACTTCAATGATTGATTTTTGGGTTTTCAGGCTTTGCCTTGCATAGATATGTTTTGCTATGTTATGCTACCCTATACTATGCTATCACTATTGTTGTGCTCTGTTTACATTGCTATGCTGTGATACTCTATACTATACTTTGCCATGCTTTACTCTTTATGCTATGTTTTGCTGTTCTATCCTTTGCTAAACTTTGCTATGCTATCATTTTTTCTGTACTATCATTTGCTATGCTGTGCTTTGCCATACTTTGTTTTACTGTGATGTGGTTACCTTGCTATACAGTCGCTCTATGCTGTCCTTTGCTATGCTATTCTATATTATACTATTCTATATTATGCTAATCTTATGCAACAATATGATTAATGGACTAATCATAATGCACTAYGGGTCATCCCGTGGGCAAATAAAGTTACAGTAAAAATGCCAAGAAACTACAAAAAAGATAAATTAAGATGGCACATCAATCACCTTTACCCATAAGAGAAAGACAAATCTGTATATTTTCTGTCATTTCTGCCAAGATGGCYGCCATATAGTCGAAGTAGTCCATTGCTAAAGTATACTTTCCTGTTATCATTTGCTGTGCTATGCCTTGCTATGCTACCTTTTGCTTTTCTATATCTTCCTTTGCTGTAATATGCTAGTGTATACTCTTATTTACTCTGTTCTCCACTGGTTTCAGTCATTGAGTAATTGTCTAATACCAGATACATCTTTTTATCAGGTTATCATGTCCTGTGGCAGTGACAATCAGTTAATAAGTGTCACAGAACCCAGTCGATGTGAATATAGAATGGAGTTTAAAACTCCTTCAATGTGCCAAGACCATCATACTGTCCACACCGACCATCAAGAATTATAATGCAATATGTTTGCAATAACCACAATCAACCAAATTCTCCATTTTATACTTGAAAATTAAAACTGAATTGGAAAATATGTAACTAACTATAGATAGAACTTTTAAAATTTTGTACAATTTGTTCTTGTCAAGTTTTCAAAAGCACAAAATATGCAGAAGTCAAAAGGAAAATATGAATACTTATTTGCATGTGACGCACAAAAGATACTTTAGTAGAATACAAAACAAAAACTTGCTTGCATGAGGTGCAGTGAAGGTTATTCTTGCCAACAAATTAGATCAGGAACTGTGATCAGTAGCAATCTTGAATAAYGGGTTACATACCTTACAAGATATTCTTGAAACACCTGCCCATCTATTTGTCGTTTCATCTACAGTTAATATTATTCCTTATACTGTATGATTTATTTGTTTGCAATGAAAGTAAATTATTTGCTGATATCAATTTATGGTTAACTCTAATGATACTTCATCTTTCACTTAAAGCTTTATCATTTACCTACAGTTTGGGGTAACAAATATGGATCACATCCATCACATTTTAAAAACTTGAAATTCAAAACTAAGTATTTGAAATAAAACCATGGGCTATAGTCCATGCTTTTTGGCTAAAGATGACCCATTTTGAACATTTTATGAATAATGCATGTTTTTGAAAAAGGTGTAAAAAACACAGCAAATCCATCAAAACCATGGGCTATAGTC